GCGTAAACATTTTTTCGCTTTCGCTCTTTTTGCTTAACCATCTTGAAACAAACATATTTTAAATTCTAATAAAGTAACCGGTGCAGTAGGGCGTTCAGATAGTTTAATTTCGGAAGGTTATTCCTGACAAAATTCTGAGTGGAAAGCCTTGTACTAACATATGTATGTAGAGTTCGAGGTTATCACAGCGGTGGTTATTAAGGGTACTATTTTCTGGGATATAACTCCGTGCAGTCCGTCGAAAGACAACCGACGTTTCGGTAGAACATATTGCCTCCAACTTAAGGGTCGAAGAATAAGCCGAGAAAGATACCAGAGTGAAAACAGGTGGCAATCAGAGATATGAGAGGTTTTATTCAGTGCTTACGGTAGTAACTAAAGGGAAGGCTGCGCCATAACTCAAGCTGTTAGTCGCTGGCTTCCCACCGCGGTGGCCAGGGTTCGATCCCGAGTCTGGTCAAGTGGGATTTGTGGTGGACAAAGTGGTGCTGGGGCAGGTGTTCTCCGAGTACTTCGGTTTCCCCTGCCAATCTTCATTCCACCAACTGCTCCACAATCATCCTCGCCTATCACCTGCGTCTGGTACAATAGGCCAGAAGTGGCCGCAGTGCAAGGGACTTAGTCCCACCCCACTAGCAATAAAAAAATAAAGGGAAAAAGCTGAGGTTGGTTTGAATATGATAATCGCGTTTAATGTAACAACGTGGGCATGGAGGTACTACCAACATGACATAACGCCCTCACACACCATTTCAACACACGACACAACACTCGGATCAGCATTTCCATAACTCCTGAATTTGCTGTGGGGATCTGCAGAAGTGACCACCGTCACCACCCGACCTCAACAATCTTGACTTCCTTGTGTGTGGGATGTATGAAAGATCCTGCTTATGACCACAAGATGGAGGCACGCCGCACTGTCGATAAGACAGTCCTGTATACTGTGTTGTGGAATGTGCAGAAGCTGTACAGCAGTGAAGGCTCAGAGTATGTACAATCGCACAAAAATATTGCCACTTCTTTTTACAAGAAACGTGTGCCTTACTGAAATCATCTTAACATGGCCTACCCACATCTCTGCAGTCGTTCAGAATCGTACCCATGGTGACACGAGGCCTTTCTTCATTCGGAACCTCGTGAATTTGAAGCACTCTGTATATTTTCATACATCTAGACCTATACAAACCGAACACAGTGGACGCGCGGTCTAAGGCATGCAACGTCTTCGCCCACTTGAACACTGGGATCGTGTGTTCGAATCCCACTCAAGGTATGGATGTCTATCTGCATCTATTCTGTTAGTGCTGTCCTGTGTAGGTACTGGCCTTGCGATGGGCTGGTTCCACATCCAAGGAGTCCTACCGACTGTCTAAGATTTAAGTAACTGAAGTGAAACGAACCATTTCAAGGATGTCACATTCTCTGACTGGGAGCAACAGGAATAAAGATAGACAGAGAGACAGGTAATTTTTCGCTTAGTTGGGGGTGGAGCCCAACTGGGTCCACTCGGCACGGCGGCCACTGATTGGCCTATTGTAGCCTGCCCCGGGTGATTATGATAATGGAGAATTTGGTGGAATGAAGATTGGCAGGGGAAACCTAAGTACTCGGAGAAAACCCGTCCCAGCGCCACTTTGTCCACTACAAATCCCACTCAACCAGACCCGGGGATCGAACCCGGGCCGCCGCGTTGGGAAGCCAGTTACTAACCGCTTCAGCTATGGCGCGCCCTGATAGATAAGTAGATCTATATATTCAGGTGAGAGAAAGCTTCGTTTTATTATTACCGACAATAAGAGAGAGTTGGGCGATCTTCGCATGTCTCTGAAAACCACTAACGACTGGAAATGTACGAACTGCGTGACAGTTCTGCAGTTCTCAGTCAATTTGGTTAATTTCCTGGAGAATCCGAAGGCTTACGGAAGAAATGTACATACAAATTTTGTTCAAAATGTTCTTAGCTTCATTAAATGTCTGGCAGAGTGCGCAGAAATGCAGGAAGGCCCTCACGTAAAGTGGTCGTTAAAATTACCCGAGCTAAGTGAATACTGAAAGGGGTCGATAACTTTTGCGCAACATCCCCCAGTATCATAGCTCACTCATTCCACGGAGCCAAAGCAATCTCTAAAAGCGAGAAGTTGCCCAGCCACTCACGAAATTTCCAGCATTTAACGGATAACCAAAGCTCACATCACAACACCGGTCGCCACTGTTAGCCAAATAAATGCAGTCAAGAACTGCATCCTATTTCTCTAAGATGTGTTTTAATATTATCCTACCATTTACCTTTTGGTATTTGTAAAGGTGTCTTTCCTTCAGTGACTCCTACAAAATTCTGTATGTACTACTCTTCTCTCCCATGCGTGCTACATTGCCTATCCATCTCATCCTCCTAGACTTAATCATTATTGTAATATGTGGTTAATGAAAATTGGTATACCAATTCTCGAGTAGATTTATGGGTAGAGACGGACGCAACGTTCGAAACACACCTACAAAGTGGGGTTTTATACATTTATGTAATTTAGACCTTTAACTAAAGTGATATTCTGTAATAGGGATAATTATTTTCATTTGTATCATGAACTTTCGAAACATTGATCAATGAATTTTGCAAATCTCAAATATCCAAATACGGAGATAAAATATAACAGTACACATTCCTCCATTTAATGACAAATAAAAATGATAAACCGTTTCAGGACGTTAATATTTTAAATATAGCGTCGTATTGTTTACTGAACATACGCCGTGTGATCCATGAAACCCATAATTCACAGAATGACGTAGCTGCAGGGAATCCCAATTTTTCACACCAACTCATCCTGTGCGTGCAGCGTGACAAACGCAGAGCGGGCTCGCGCGAGTCACGCCTCTTCCAAAACAAACTATTCAATCAGCGAGCATATACATCATCCAATGATTATCTCGACGCAACAAACTGTACATAGGACTACAATCAAACAAGTCTACTCTGCCATTGTAAAAGCAACTTATAACGCAATACCAAATAACTCGATAACGTGCCATCAACACAGGTTGCCTTCAAATAAGTGTTCCTGCATCTATGCATGATACACAGCGATGTAAAAACGAAACTACACACAAATATCGAAGATGTATAGACTGAGATAATAAACAACTGAAGTATTATTATTTTTATTATTATTAGTTTTATGTTGATCTACTGTAAATATATTTATTTTATTTGTGATTCACAGGTCTTTCAGCGTGTCGCACCACAGATCAATATCTAAGAGTGACTGGATGACAGTGGCTGCTGCATAATTTGAGGTACTAACCCGACATAAGCCTGGAGAGGCGCCGTCAGACAAAAATATGATCATGTGTCCCGTGGGACTCGGAATGAAGAATGACTGTACTGGCGAGGACCGGTATCAATTTACTGGACTAGACTAGCATGTAGTAGGAAGTGTCGCGAATTAAAGAAATAAACAAAGAAACAAAACACAAGAAGAAGCTCATAACAGATCAACGTGTACTAATTAAAATGTTCCAGCGTAGAAGATTCACGCATTTCCAGGTTTGGTTCATTATTTTTGGTAAAATTCTCGGCTGTCATCTCGAGATGTGTAGTAGGTAAGTATTAATGTTTCGGAGGAACGTGTTGCCACCATCTTCAGAATATATGCGATGTCTAATCTACTCTATCGAACAAAACTTTGAATAAACAACGCTTATAAGCCAAGCACCATTAATGGATTGGTACATGCTGAGGAGTTCCTGTGATACAACCGCTTCATTTCTTAAACATTATTCAGATGAGCTCCATGTTTCAAGGGGCCTAATATTAAAAGAATATAGGCCCACCAGAACCTGATAGTTTCAATTTAATTAGAATGCTTCAATATAATCTTTCTAATTTTTCTAAATGGGAATGTAGAACGCAATGGAGCCCAAGAATACTATTTCGAACTATTCTGTATACGGAATATATCAGGTAAATTTTAATCTCTGCGGCCAATCAGTTGCGTATGTCATGCTTAAGATTTCGTGTAACCTCGAGGCCCGCTGTACCATATAATATAAAGTTAGATATTTAATTTACTTCAAAGCTGAAGGAACCCAGAAGGAAAGAGATTCCTGGAAAGACCAAGGCGTAGGTGGGTGGGCAATATTAAAATCTATCTTAGAGAGATAGGATAGGATGGTATGGATTGGATTGATCTGGATCAGGATAGGGAACAGTGGAGGGCTCTTGTGAACACGGCAATGAACCTTCCGGTTAAATAAAATGCTGGGAAATTCTTGAGCAGCTGTAAATTTGGTTCTTCTCAAGAAGGGCTCAGCTCCAGAAGTAAGTAAGTAAGCTGAAGGAACACTCTCTGTCGACTATCCTTGATTGTTGAATACATACAAAAGCAACAGTCATGTATCTTGGAGTCCATCAAGTACATTTGCAACAAGCGGACGTCCCACTACGTCATCACAAGGGACTCTAGTAAATTTCAAATTTCCGAGTATATGCTGTAATCGGTGAGACTGACTGCAGATCAGTTTGGACTGCAGGACATGAAGAACGGAACAGAAATATGAATACAAATCAATAAGCATTGAAGCAGGCCCTTCTCGTATGTGAGAGTCTATGTACTCGTACTCTACATGAAAATAGAGGCAGGACGTTTCTCGAAAGTATCGGTACTTTCTACAAGACTACACGGGACATTCCAGAGGACGAGAATCTTCTGATCTCTGCCCGTTCCACTGCGTTCAATACGTTCAATACGTTCACTTCTATCCGAGCAGCTGATGGCGTCGTTACGTAACGAACCAAAAGAAACATATTCGAGAAAACTGTGTGTCTTGTTCAGGAAGAAAATAATGCAATGCAGAATAAAAGTCTAACCAAATACATTTCAGTAATTGTCATTATAGCGTAAAGGAACCATCCCTAATTTCTTTAAGATGCTTTATATCAGAAGAGCACTGACATTGATTCATTAAAATAACGTCACTGAGGTTGGGACATGGCCTACCTTTCACGGCGTTCAGCTTGTTTCCGACCATCTGCTTCGCCACAAAGGCCGCCATGTTGGATGATGTAGCTACCTGCTGTTGGTGCTGATCTCTGGTGGGGACGCTTTAAGTTCTCCCAACTAACGGAATCAAGTCACAGAGAAGGGACTGTCTGTGAACAAAGAAACGGGGAACATTTTAATTTACTTTCATGACTTAATGAAAGAAAATAGGATTGTTTCCTCCCTCCCAAATTTCGAGGTAATTAAAGTGTCTTCATAGAATTTGGTATGAACATTGTCAGTAAAGATATTCAAAACTTGAACACTTTCGGCTGCATTTGAAGTTATCACAGAGTGAACTGTTTGCTGCTGGTTTCTCCTTAGTCTCATGCTTGGATAACTCGTCTACTCTGATGATACAGACAGTACGTCCCACTGGGACTCCCGGGGACTACACCGCGCTGTATCCCAGAAGACAGCACTCTTCGCAACAGTTTTAGTTTCCCACAACTGGCATTAAAAGTATTAAAGATGCACAAACTTCTGAGGTGGAAACAGTAGCGCCATTTTCCATAGGGTCATGAAATTATGTATGATAATAGATTGTAAGAGTGAGCTGGGATAGCGTAGTGCCTATAGCTACTGCCTACGAGCTGGACCGAGGGATTCGTGTTCGAGTCCCGGTAAGGTCAAGAATTTTCTCCTGTCCACGTCACCAAAACCGGCTATGGAGTCCACTCAATTTCCTCTCCAATGTGTACCCGGGGCTCTTTCCCCTGAGGTAAAGCGGCCGGGGGCGTGAAGCTGACCACTCAACTCCAGTTAGCGCAGAGGTCAAAAAATGAGGATCTATATATCCACTCCCCCATACGCTTTTACGGCCTAGTGCTTAATTAGTTAAGCACAAGGACAATACATTGTAAGAAAATATGTAACTCTGATGCAGTTTCTTTTAAGAATATAATTTGACTGTATGAAATCAGTATTTACTTTTCGGTTTGTCGGTGATGACCACTGCATCACAGGAGCAACACGTTTGGAATTCACCACAGATATGAGCCACAAATATGCCTACATATTCTGCAAGAAATATTGTGTATAAGCCAGCGATTAAATATAAGGCGACGGTGCGAATATTAGAGGTTATGTCCGAGAACCCCTCGTTGGTGTGGACCTGTCATCTGACAGATTACTGATGAATGAATGAATGTCCGAGAAATATTATGTGCACAGAAGTCTGCATTTAAATAATAACCTCTCCCCATAATATTTCAAGTAAATTAATTATTAATTGATGTGCTTAATCAACATCCCAAAGACTAGATACAAAGTAAGTGACAGCAAAATATAGAAAGGAAACAAACACATAGACACAAACAAAAACCAACACACGACAATTTGTATCATTTGTACTATATTAACAACTTAATTAGTATAATCACGGCTGCCATTAACGAGTCAGAAAGACATCTGCCTACCTACCTACCCACCCACCCACCTACCTATCTGTCTATGGCTCTACAGCCCTTTGTTCGACCTAGGCCCCTTTTTCAGTTTCTTGAACTTTCACACAGTCGGTATGATTCCTTTGACGGGGATCAGCCAGTCGCAAAACTGTTACCTGCACACACAGGGCAGCACAAACACAGAAAAATGCACACATACATCCATGCCTCAAGTGGGATTGGAACCCAAGATTGCAGTGTTTGAGAGGGCGAAGACAGTTCATGCCTTAGAATGCGCGGCCACTGCGATCGGCACGATATACACATATCTATAATTTGGTGCTACAATAATTAAGAAAATATGGTTACACAATCTTAGAGAGATACAGTTCTGGTTTCAAGTACGTCAAAGTCCCTACACAGAACACAAAGACCTGAAGTGAAGCGAGCAGAAGAACAAGTTACACTCGAAGTGCAGACACTGAGCAAAGCGCTCTCTCATATACAGAGCAATAACTCGAAGACCAGAAGTTTCCACAGGAGGAAAGAATATAATAAGATGTAATCTCATACTATTCCTGGGAGCGGATCTCAACACAGAAACTAGCGCTTCAAATCAGTATGAAGTCGTCACAGGCCGACTTCTAATTCTTCTGCAACTACGAACTTCCCTTTGCTATCTCCTACCGAGAAGGAGAGCTTGTAGCGCAGACTGTCTTCAAGAAACCTCCTCCGCACTGACCCCATGGAAAACACCGTCTTCTTATGTTAAAGATGCGTGTTTACAGCTTCGTTGCCTAGCAATAGACGTCCTACTGTTCCGAGCGCTTGCTTCTGTGGGAGGGTGTTTACCAACCCATTGCCTAGCAATGGGCGTACATGAAACATGTAACTACTACTACTACTACTACTACTACTACTACTACTACTACTACTACTACTACT